ATTCATCAGTCTAAGTTAAACATAGTTCCTATCCAATCGAACTAACCTGCGCTATCATACTTTATCAGTACTGTTAGGTGCGCAATGTGGGATGATCGAAAAAACCCGTTTTTCTCGTAGAATTAATGTATCGGCCTAATTGATTGTGACAAATGAAATGGACACAAAGGACAGCAGTAGCAGCAGCGTTACTGATAGTAGCACTGTACCAGCTCCTACCAAGTTCCGGGTCTTAGAAGTGAGACGGAGTCCGTCTTACCTTGGTTCTTAAAACCATTTCTTAACTTTGACGAAAAGGGAAGAACAATCGGTCTGTTGGCAACTTGCCATATTGTGTCATACAGTTTGCTTTTTTCTGCTAAAATTCAGTACCACATATGATTAGAATTAAAAAACAAATTAATGGCCAAAATACCATCAGTTGCGTCACAGCAGGTGATTGCTCATTTATTAGACCCAAACCAACTTCATTTTTTGGAATAACTAATTGCTTTACAAAACAGCACAACTGGCTGAGGGCGATCGTCCTGTAATAAATAAAATGAAAAGAAGACCCTGGCGAGTCTGCTGATTAGTTGCAGTTTGGGAGAAGCAAGCAAAGCTTTTCGTCACTTGTACAGTTGCCTCATGACGATTCTATTTGTTCTTTTAGAAAGGCAGATATTCATAAAAACAACGGAATCGTATTGTACAGAAAGGGGTGGGGCAGTGACAAGTGGTTTTGTTATCACCGTCGTGAAGCATGGATCGAATATCGCCCATATCACACCAGTTCGGGAGTTTGTGGGAAATTCTGTCCAAGATTTTTGCGGCCATAGTCGGGATTTGGGCAAATAAGTTGAGCTGCATGGGATTTGCTACTTGGGCAATCAGAACAACTTTGGTCACACGAAAGTCTTCAAATTGTACATCAGCACCTCCTAGTATCCACGATGAAACCATTGAACCGCTCACACGATTGATTAGGGTAATCGAACGTGTGGCACACTCTGGAAGGAGGCGATTCAATGTCGAACCTTTAATATTTCTTAAAAATGTTAGGCTATGGGATATGCTTTTTAAGACGGATTTTCGCTTTTTTAATTGCTTTTTTTTCAGTGCTCGTTCCTAACAAAGCTCAGTTTCGTGCTTTCGATAATTGGTGCAATGTGTGCTTGGATAGCGTACAATCCAAACATCAACTACCTTGGTATCGCTTGTATGACGTTCAACATTTTGAATTTTGGAGCACCACTGGCTGGATTGGTAAGCTTTTATAAAATCGCTAAGAATTTAGTATTAGGATTTTTGAAGAAGAGGCCAGAGGGGGCCGAGTTGAACTTAGGTTGTTTTTTGGGCCTTATACGAAACCGTTGTGCCCTTCGTCAGTTGATTTGGGCAGTATCTGCATTGGTTGATGGTAGAGAAAGCTATGGGTACAGGCTAGGGAAGGCTACTGTACGACATGACAGAATAGGTTCACCTGACCACAAACTTCAGAAAATGTTTATCAATGTTCAATAAATCGTTGTCGCCGCATCTACCCAACCTGAAAGCTTTTAGGGAGTAGTTCTGCGAAAACGCTGCTGTGATTCGTTACCGTTGCCGATGTGTGTCACAAATTTACTGGTCTCATCACAATGGTTCCTGTATGGAAACATCGTTCAGGACAAATATATTATGGTAAGTTCTTTCGCTCTGAAAAAAAAACATGATGGACTGCTCTCTCAGAATCACGGAAATTGTTCGATTCAGGCACCCAACGGTATCGGAATGGCCTTGGCTGTGTTCCAACTCAGCCTGTTTTTGATTTTCCCACGAAAAGAAAACGGAAAGTCAATGGTTTCTCAGGTGGCTGATTTCTTTACTTCAGTACCTGCAGAGACTGAAGTTGATCATGAAAAAGGTAGGTCTGGAGAATCAACTGGAATTAGTTTTTTTCAAAAGAATACTTCCAGGTGATCGCATTTCAACTCTAACGACATCAACCGGTATATCGATAGCCAGTGGACAGACGTTGATGAGGAAACTTTCTGAAGCACTCGAGTGAGTTCCCATCACGTCTACTTAAGCTTTATGATCGCTTCAGAGTCTTTTTAAATAAGGTAAGACTTGGGTTCATCTATGTGACTCACTTTCCCACTGGTTCCCTCACGTATTCAGCCCGAGACGTTCATAGTTTTCGCTGCACTCTCCACCGCCACTATAACTCCCCTTACCTGAACACTTGTGGGCATTAAAAATTCAATTCTCTCTAATGCAGTAAAATTTCGTGCGAATATCTGTCTGTTGCTCTCATATTAGAAAGAAATTGCTCCCATATCGAAAGCCAAATCGTAATATTCAGTTGGAAATTTCTAAATTTCAACATCGCTCCTAATGGTCTTTAGCAGGAAAACTGGGCGCTCAGGAAGTTTCGGTGCTGTTATCGCTGAATTGCAACAAGCACGTCCGCGAACCACCAGCGAACCAGAAATTTCAAAGTTCAAAAAAGTCTGAGGAGTTTTACCCTGTCATAGGGAGCTACTCGATTATTATTATTATATTTTTCTCTGAATGTATTATGTATAATATATGTATTGATTTTATATGTTTTCATGATTTGTTTGTACATAATTTCGTGATGTTCACTTTTCTGCTTTACACGAGTAAACTATGTAAATTAGTATTTGGAGAGTTCAGTGTTAAATGATTTTTGCTTTGATGTTGACACTAAATGTTTACGAATGTCTGAAAATATACATTCACACAGGATAGGAAGGGGTCGGTTGAAAGCGCGTAAAATCGATACATATTTCGAAGCTCCACTAGAACGCCGGGGCGAGTTTGAACCGTGTTGGGATGATCGGAAAAGGCTGCTACAAGGAAAACATGTGCACTAATCCTTTAAACGATAAAATGGACTGCACTCACTGCTTGGGCCTAAGGAAGATATTATATTTATGTACAGGTGAACGCAAAGAAAAGACAGAAAGTATCAGCTGCGTTGAAGTTAGGGTACCAGGTCCTACCCTGACCAACCCAACCTATCGTCCAGCTTGGGATGTTCATTATCAGACCTGGAAACAAGAAATCGGTAAGAATACGGTCTATTTTCATGCACCATAGAAATTCCCAAACATGACCCTCTCTCGGGCTCACTTAGCTAATAAACAGGAGAACTGCACCTAGGTCGAGCTCAAAAACATATTCTTCTCGAGACCACTTCAAATTGAGTAACATGGGTTGTCAAGTACAGTGATACGACAGAGATAACTCCGTACGCGTCTTGACACTGGGAAAGCGGCTGCCAGGGAACATTTAGTCCTCCGCTACCTGCCTACCTGCACTACAATATTAACTCAAGAGGTGGTTCTGCTCAATGCTATGGGGCAAATTAGAAGTGTATAGGAGGGAATTTCTGGTGGGATTCTTCTATAAAGATTTGGGCATATTCAGCCTCGGCTTTGTTAACAGCCTGACTCCCTACTGTTCATCGAATGTTCGGTGAACATCATTGTGTCGCCCCTGAAATTCCATGTCGGAATTTGTTTGATTTTGCTGTTGGCAGTGCCATGGAGAAGCCATAGCAAGCGAAGGTAGTCATAATTGAGAGGAAGCTTAAAAAGGTTAGCAAGAATAGCAAGAGTAACTGAAAGAAAGTGCTCATACAGCATAGAACGTAGTGAAGGTGTTCACGTAATTCCGATCATTTGATAGAGACTATTGTCGACTTTCTGTACAATGTATGTAGACGATGGAACTGAAAGGTTTAATCAAACTTCGATTTCTTGAGCAGAATAAACGTGACATACAAAAGCAAGAACATGCTCAAGCTGATAAAAATTCTTTTAAATAGCTGTTTTCAGTTGCTTCTCTATATTTTATCACTAAAAACAAAGTTATGAGAACAATGGAGGCAGAAGTATGCTAAGAGTTAACCTCTAACTACATAAGATGAATATCAAAAGTACTAATGATATGAGCTGCACGCTAGGCTTCATGACAGTTCTAGTCGGATCACCAATCCGTTTCTCCGTAGATTTTTCTGGCGCACAGAATTCGGAGCCACAGAGCTCTGAGCAGGATGGGCAGACAATTTGAAGTCGGACTGTGCCAACGTTATGCAATCGCTGAATAAAACGAATAATCAGTTATAATAAATGCCCGTTGGGAATTCAGACCATTATCTGTGGAGCGCGCGGTTGCACGCGATTAAGGCGGTGAGCGCGACGCGATTTTTGGGAGTAGATACCACACCCCATTTAGGGTAATGCTTACACTATCGGATCGCGGAAAATAGTCAATGTGAGAGACAGTTGTTTCTTGAAAGGGAGAGAGATGAATGCCAAATTTTCTTTCACAGAGTCTGCTATTCTTGTTGATTGCCTTCATTTCTACTGACTCATTCGAGACCTTTGACATGTTTTTGTGACGACGCTACTCCATCAGCCGGCCTATGAACCTTATTGATGCTGGCACCGACATCAGTTTTTGTAGTTTTATACAGGCTATGCTTTATACAGGCGTGCTTTGAAGCTTAAAGTCCGAATTTCATGGGGTTCTGCTTAGTGGGCTTTATCTTCTAGCAAATATTTTTTTGCAGAGGTTCCGAAAGGAGTTAAAAAAA